GTAGGATTAGAAGTAAATAAAGTAAGAAAAGTAGAAAAAGTAGAAAAAGTAAATCAACAAAATTATTTATTAGAAAGAAAAAAGTTGAAAACAAAAGTAGATAGTTCTCCTATTTCTTCTGATTCTTTTGATTCTTCTCTTTACACTTCATCCAAGTCTAAATCTACACAATCTGACCTACTACTTCTGTGTTCTGAGATCTCAGAACATTTAGAACATTACCTAACCCTGTTTACTACTCAGTAGTTTGTCTGTAGTATTAAGTAGGGATAGTCTCAACTGAGTTCATAGCTAAGGACATAAGTCTGTTCTTGTTGAAAGAGAGAGGTTAATGAGGAAATGTTAGTACATATACTTACCCTCTTAGACAATAAGGCTGTACAAACTGTATGTTCCCTTCAGAACAAGTAGTAGTTTATTCAAGGACATTTCAGGTACTAGCTTTAAGTCCCTGTCCTTCTGACTCCCTTCTCAGGATCCCCCCAGATCTGAACAACAGCTCTAGTAGACAGTGAATGTACTAGTTTGTACATTAATAAGGCCTTCATGTAGGAACACTACCTCCCTACTTAATGTGTTCCACTTCTGATCCTAGTATATAATACAGACAGAACCCTAAACTAGAATAGTCAGATCACCAAGTTTGTCCAACTATGAATGACTATTCAGGATTATAAGGAAAGTATTGAGTTCAGAGTCACCAACCTTAGAAAGACAGATGTCTTCATCAGATTCAAATGGCTCAAGGCTCACAACCCTACTATTGACTAGTTAGAGTAGACACTTGTGTTTAATCAGTGTCCCAAGTCTTACAGCTACCTTGTACTACTGTTCCAAGTAGATACAAATGCTTCTAATGTTACTAACAGTTCTAATGAAGGTGACTAGTTGTTCTTCTTCAACTAGGATAGATATGTAGATACATATCCTAGTCAAGGTGGAATAGAGTTGATCTGAAGGATGTTTAAGACAGAACCAGTCCAGAACCCTCTCAGAACAACTCTACTC